GCACACGAGGAGGACCTGCTACAGAAAGTGTCCTTGCCTGCAACAGAGGCAGATGAGGAGGCAGCCTCTCCCTGGGCGCCATGATGTCTGCAGAGCAGCTTCAACTGCTGCAGCCTCCATGCACAGCCGGGAGATGGGGCTGCTGGGCGCACAGAGCAGACGATGGAAGGCACATGGAGGCCATGAGCCTTTTCCCTGGCACGTTTACAGATTTGCAAAGGTGACGCTCCTCTCCCAGCCTGGGAACGCAGCCTGGGCCTCATCACACAGGCTGCCAGTGCTGATCACAGCAGGCATGTGAAGAGCCTGCTCACAAGGAAGGCCTCTTGCCACACCAAATCTGAGCAAGTGCCCATGCAGAGCAGGACCAGGTCAGCAGGAGCATGGCTGCTGAGAAGGGGGCCCCCAAGCTGGCCTTCACTGGGGGATGGAAAAGGAGACAGTTCTGTAGACCCAGAGAACAGAAAGCTTTTTTCCCCCATCTAAGCATCGGAGACCAGGACAGGTACTCAGAATGGCATGGCTGGGGCTGCCTGAATCCTCTAGAGAAATCACGACAAGCTTCAAGAAATGTCCTTTGAACTGGGTTCCCACCTGTTTCGAGATTGAGCCATTATCTAGTGGCTGGCACAAGCATTAGAAGAGAAACTGTGAGAGGACAGACGGGATTAGAAACCCACCATGAGGCTCCCCAGGTGGGGTGGGTGGTCTGCTGGGTGGCAATGCAGATGGTGTCCCTTCTCGGGTCAAATCTGGCCACCCAGTGCCACCACACACCACGGGGGGGCCCGGGCAGGCCGGCCACCTCTGCCCTCCCTGCCTCCACCCACTGTCGATGGTGGGGTGGCGTGGTGGCCTCAGTTCTGTGCCAGGGGTCCTGGCTTCGTGACAGCGAGGAGGCGGCTCTGCTGTGGGCACTGCTGGCTCCAGGGCCCAGAACCCCTCCAAGAGGGACACTCGCCTTTCCTGCTCTCACCTGGACCGCTGCCTCCCCAAAATCCCACCCGTACCTACTTACCTCTGGGTTCTGACTGTGATCCTCCTTGTACACTTTATAACTGTATCAATTATTCTCACATAACACCTGAAATGCAAGTACCTCTGGGCATAGATTCACTCGAAGAAGTAAATGACTGGAGTTTGGGACCAAGGACACGAGGGCGCGTGCCCAGAGCCAGGACATGAGCCCCGCCCTACCAGGTGGCCGCAGCACACATGGCCCTACCTCACCAGACGCAGGAGAAGCTCTCATCAGGTCAGTAGAAGGGAGAACTTATGGGTGAGAGAACAGAACCCCCAACCGGAACAAGTGTGTACCAGGAAAACAAAACAACCAGAGACAGAGCCTCTGGAGAGCCGACCCCTCTTCCCAGGAGATGACCCCATTCTCCAGCCCTAAGACATAAAGTCAGGCCCAGACCTGGGCTTCTGGGTCTTCCTGCAGCTGCCCCAATGGCACACACCTCCAGGCGGATGCCAGGCCCTCCCAGACTGCTCCCAGGAGCTCCCAGACCACCACTGTTCTCTGCCCCGCGTGGAAATAGAGTGGACACAGTACCCCACTTTACAGATGGAAAGCGGGTGCCCAGAGCACAGAGGCCCCATCTACCATCCAGCCAGCGCTGGGCCTCCAGAACCCAGCCAAGGCGAGCCCACACCTTGCCGATGCCCCACATTCCCAGCAAGAACTGGTGTGACTCGGGTCACGACTGCCAGAAAGGGCTGTCGGTGAGTCCACACACACCAGCTCACCATTTATGGGGACAACAGAGTGGCATTCCTTTGTCTGAAATGGCCTGTTCTCCACTTGATTTACAGGCTGCCTTGTAAGTCATCAGCTGCTCCACCAGGAGACAGGTAAGAGGCAGAGGTGCAGAGACGGGTATGACCCACCAGGGTTTCCCCTTCTCCAAAACACTGAGAACCCACGGGAGTGCCAAGGGGCCTCTGAACCTTCTTCCAGACTGTTCTAGACAAAAAGCCTTCACTGAGGGCAGGATAGTGCCCCAGGCCTGAGCGTGGGGGGGCCCAGGTACACCACACTTTAGGAGTGACTTTGGGGACTGGCCTCCCAACCTGCTGTGAGGTGCGTGACCCACACAGTGGGCAGAGGCTGTGACCTACAGAGGGTGGAACAAGAGAGCAGCGGCGAAAGAAAGCAAGCCCCCAGGAGCCCCTGCCCAGGATGGCCAGAAGCCAGGCCAGGCCTCGCTCACCAGTAGAAGTAATAGGCCAGAGCCACAGCAGCCAGGGCGGCACAAAGTCCCGAGAAGAGGCAGGCTGAGTAGCTGGCCAGCATCTTCAGACCCCTCGCCCAGTGTGTTGTTGGGAGGCAGTGAGAAGCAGACTGTCAGGGGGAGCGGGTGTCAGCCTCTGGCCAGAGGATAAGCCAGAGGGATTGTGACCAGGTCCGCATCACCTACATGTGACAGCCAGGTGGCTGACGCCATCTGCTCAGCATAAGGGGGGCACGTACACGTTTGGGTGCAGCCCTCCGACCCAGCAGCACCCTGGCCTCAGAGACTGGCTGAAATGAAAACAATTCCCTGAAACAGCACAGAACACCAGCCTTTCCCCTGCCCCCGGGGCACCTGGTCGGGCACACCTAATCCCATAAGCGGCTTTGCTGGGAACTGCTGTAAACAGGTGGCCCCAGGGCTCCCCCAGGACGCAGGTCAGCAGGCCCCGCCCCAGCACCCAGTCCCAGGATTGCAGACCCAGGATTGCAGATGCCCAGGAACCCGGCAGCAATGCGGCCTGGGCCAGGGCTCTGGGGTGAGGCGGCGAGGAACCCGGGCTAGGCTGCTGGGCTAGAGAGACCCCAAAAGGCCTCCAAGTGATGGACACACACCCACTGTCTGGGGCCAGGTCCCGGGCTCATGGGTCCTCACCCGAACGGACAAGGCTCCAAGGGGCACACACGACACCCCTGATCCCGAGTGAGGAGCCATAAGGAGGAGCCTCCGCTCTTATTCTGGGATACAGCGAAGAAGCAGGATGAGGCCCAGCGCGCAAGGGCCTGCTCCTGCCCCGCGCACCCCTGCGTCCCTGCCTCTGCAGGGAAGGGGCTGAGGTGAGGTCCGGTGGCCCAGAGACAGATGCCCACAGCGGAGTGCACCCTGGTGCAGAAGGCACTCAGCAGATGCCTAGGGGCGGGAGGAGGGGTTCCTTCCCACTCATCACCCTCTCCAGGGGAGTGGGGGGCCATAGCTCCCTGCATCTGCCACGACACTGGGCGCAGAAGACCCGCTTCCAAACACGCTGTGTGGCAGGCTCCCGACTGGGAGAGCCCAAGCTGCCCGTGCCCCACGGGGTCTGAGGAAGGAGCCGGCCCCGCTGGCCCCAAGGCAGCACGTCACTCCACTCTGGGCTGGCCGAGCAGGGGCCCAGGCTGCAGCGGCTCATACCAGAGCAGAGTCCACTGGCGCTGCAGGGCTGCAGAGGGCCGCCCCGGGCAGTGACTTGCCGGCTAAGCCTCTCTAGCTCCTAGTCCCCAAAAGAGCTGCAGGAGCCACTGCCCTGGAGGCCACTCCAGAGTAGCTGCGTTCTCCAGGGACACACCCATGGTGAGCCCGCAAGCGCCTGCCCCAGAAGCAGGGAGGCACCGGCGCTTAAAACACCAGTGGGTCCTCAGTCGGTGAGCCGGGAAGAGGAGGGACAGAAGGCCTGGCCACCGGAGGGTGGGTGGCAGAGGCACCTAGGGCTGGGAGTAGACAGAGCCTTGTCCTGTGGGAGCCCACTGGGCACCCCCGAGTCTGCGGCAGGCACAGCAGCAGCTGCCACGCTCCCCAGCTTCCGGAACACAGGAGCCCATCCGTGCCTACCACGGCCGCCTCCAGACCCAAGCGCCAGGTCCTGGGCCCTCCTGCTCCTGGTCAGGGGCCCTGTGTTCGGAGCCCCCATCCTGTCCCCACCCAGCCTCTCAGCTCACCTTCGGTCCGGGTGTGCACATGCTCAGGAGAGCTCTGGCCTCCCCCGCCCTCCCCTGCCCCACAGAGAACCTGGGGTCCATTCTGCCAACCTGACCCATGCCAGGCCTGGCCCTCCAGGGTCAGCCCCATCTGGAAGCATCTCGGGATTGGGTGCTGATGGCCTCTGAGTTATCTGGGAGGACTTGTTAATGCCACCGTCTGAGAAAGGGCAGAATCAGTGTGGAAACTAAAAGGGGCCAGGCCCAGACACACCAGTGAGGCCACAGGGGTCATGAGGAGACACGTGGTGAAAGGTCAGGCGGGCCATGCCAAGCCCTGCTCAGTGACAGGGGCCATACACAGATTTCTCAGCTAACGGTAACATGTCTCTGCTCTCTCAGTCAACTGCCAACCCTAACAGTTCTGCCCAGATCACCAAGTAACTGGCAGACGCAGGGTTTGAAACCAGTCTGGTGACGCTGCCTCAGAGCTTTGTGGTCCCGGTGCGCCTGGCTCTACCCCTGCCCCCTGTGAGGGAATCTGGGCTCGTTCGCCTCCAGCAGTTCCCAGGGCCAGCATCCTAAGTTGGTTCTATCTTCCCCAAGCCTCGAATGCTGCTTGTTAAATCCCAGTGAGACACCTCTCCCTGGTTCCCCAAAGGCACTGCCAGTTCCTGACACCCAGGGGTTCTGCCCATAACTCCAGCTGGCAGTGATGGGCACAGCTGCCACAGGGCTGGAGGACCCTGGGGGGGGCACCTCCACAGTCAGCCCACACGCCACTGCTCTCCCGCAAAGCCCACAGCACCCGCTGGGCCAATGACACGCCAGCACCCAGGGGATGCGCTGCCTCACCAGCCTGTTTATCCACTTAGCGCAGCCTGGAACTGGAGAGAAGCTTCCCCAGCCAGTGGGGCACGGCAGGGCGGCCAACAGGGAAAGCCACCGAGAGCACTCATGTAAGGCTCCCCAGCCTCCCGAGGCCTCCCTGGCCCTTCCTGCGGACAGGCAGGCCCACCTCCGTTGTGCCCAGGCGTCCCTCCACCAGCTGCTTGGACAGGGCGCTCTGGAGCTTTCCAGAAGCACTTACTTGGAAAGATGACAAGTTCCTTGAGCTCTCTCTGTGGGTCCCAGGGATCAGCGGGAAGGGGCGGCGTGTGCAGCCGAGCTCTTCCCAGACAAGCGATCTCCAGCCTGCGCACCCCTGCCGCCCGAGGACGTGGCCCAGCGCTGCGCCCGGTCCTGCTGGGACCCAGCCTTGAACACACAGTGGTGGCACCTGTGGGTGGTCGGCAGGGTTGTACTCGGCTTTTCAACCCAATCTGCCGTCCACACCTTTAAAAACACAAATGAAAAAGTAAATGAGAAAAATAAAACCCCAACGCATGGAAAACCTCTTTGCTCTGACTTGCCCCAGGTCAGTAAGCCAGCACGGCAGAGGCTCCGGGAAAGAGGCGGGCTCTCTGGGGACTGGCTGGTACGATGTCCTTCCCATCCACACTCATAGAACATAAGTTACTATGCAAACCAAACACGAGTAAACATGAGGTGAGCCCAGGGAGGCCAGCGGCCGCGTCTCCAGTGCTCTGAAGCACATTTGGAAACTATGCTAGACATTGTGCAGCTGCTCCACAGCGTTTATACAGTCAAGATGAGCAGGCATGGAGGGGCAGCCAGCGGCAGGCAGTGCAGGGACAGCGCTGCCATTCGTGGGGTAGGGCCTCGTTGGTTAGGGGGGAGCTAGGAGATGCTAGCTCTGCCTAAAGGCACGGGTCAACCCGCAAGGCCTTCCACGGATGTGGGACCAGACCTCTAGCCTGAAGCCCCCTCAGGCACCGTACACTTGGGTAATGAGAACACACTTATTTCTTCAAGACTGCAGGTTGAGGATGGTTGACTGGCCTTGTTTCCTAATCATGTGACCTTCTAAAAGGCAGCTACCATCCAGCAGTGGTTGGCAGATGGTAAGGAAGATGTGGACACAGCACAGAAGCCCCTGCAGCAACCCCCCAGCAGTCCCAGAGCAGCCTAGGACAGCCAAAGGCTCTGGCGAGCAGACAGACTCAGTCCACTCCACAAGTGCATAGCACGGCCCCTGGGCACCTCCTGGCAACCCGACATTGGCCCAGGCACCAGCACCACCCGACCCTCATCCCCACAAGAAACTCCTACAGGGAAAGCAATTTTTAAACAAAACACAGTTTCAGACATGAAATCTGAACAATTATACGTATTTTAAAACTCATATGCATCAGCTTGCTTTGTTCTTAACCATTTCAACTGAAAATCAGGATTAAAATTTCTATCAAACCTTCAGGCCCAGTGGTTGGTTCAGGAACACCCTGTTCCTGGGCAGGCTGTTGCTCTGGTCACAGCACCTCTTAATGAAAGTTATTCCAACTCAAGAAAACAAAACAGGGCCACTGTGAGGTGCTGCCCAGCTGCAGGCACGCAGACCCCCATCTCCACACTAGGCAGAGCACAGGAGCAAGCCAGGTGCCCACCAGGTGGTACTCATGTGTAAGTCACCTAACAGTCTGCCCCATCCAAGGGACACATGCAATTTGGGCCCGTTTACAAACTCCCGGGTGTACTAACCGTGATAAGAACACAGCCACACTGCTAAGCATGCTGCTCTCAGTGAGAGTTCCCTGGCAGGAGGGGGACCAGGGGCCCGACCCCAAGTTGGGAGAGACGCAGGGTGGGGACAAGAGGAAGGCTCTGAAGTGAGGGCCCGGGAGGGGAGCACCCAATGGCTCCTGCAGCCTGTGCCCCCCTCACAAGCCCTCCCTCCAGAGGCTCGGTGTCCCCTGGTAACCTGCTCAGGCTGCCACAAAGGGGCGAAGGAAGGGCCTTTGAGGCTGCGAGGCCTAGGGATGGCTGCACCCCAGCAAGCGCCAGGGTGCCTACCCCACCACGGTGTCCCTCCAGACCAGGGGAGGGCCCTCTGCCCTGTGTGGCCGAGAATGGCTCTGCCCTCCCGCGAGTTCTCACAGCCGGGCACCTGGAACTTTCCAGCAGAGTGGGCCCTGTGGGGGCAATGCACTTGGAATGTGCGAGGGCCCAACACGACGACCAACAGGGCACTGCAGACGGGCCCAACCATGCCGGACCCCGGGGCCATCCTCCTCACCGCACAGGGCCTGCCTCGCTCCTCCCGCGGCGGCCGAGTGGCCATGAGGAGCAGATGTCTCAGCTGCCCCGCACAAGGAGAGCAGCTCGACATGTGGGCAGGCCAGCACCATGCCTCCCCGACCCCGGCAGGAAGCAGCAGGCTCAACATGGCCTTGACCCCCACAGCACACCCAAGATGGGCCTGATTCCTAAGGTTCAGGCAGGCCTTTTTCACCCGAGCTGGGGCAGGTCCTGTGAGAGGGGACACCTATATGTGCCTAGCAGCCGCTGGGCACCCTGACGGCTCCATGTGCATCTGCCCATTCACTCTCCACAGTGCTGCTAGAAGCTTCATTTTACAGATGAGGAAACTGAGGCACAGGGAGGCTTAGCAACTTGCCTGAAGTCCCACAGTGAGTAAGTAGCAGCGTCAGGTCTCAAACCCAGGCCATCTAACTGCAAACCACTGCCTCCATGAGTAGGAGCTGTGTCCCCACTGCCCGGGAGCTAAGGCCAGCCATGGCGCTCAGCAAGTGCCCACAACCTGGCCGCCAGGGAGAGGCAGGCTTCCCCCGAGCAGAGCACATGCAGCCTCGTGGCCGGAGGGAAGGCTGCTGCAGTTTCTGGAGAGAGGGGGTGGGAAAGCTGTGCAGGCACAGGTCACAGAGGCAGCTCTCTTCCTAGATCCCACATCTGGATGGAATGGCAGAAACTCAAAGGCCTTCTGTTCAGCCTGGGTCCGAGACACCGTCCCCACCTGCAGGCTGGCGCAAACTGCCTCCCCGGGTCCTCAGCGCACATAAAACACTTGAAGTAAGAAAGAGCCCAACTACTGACTGCTTTTTAAAGATTTTGTGAATGAGTAGAGACAGTCACACATTCTTGGTGCAGAAAGTGGAAACCGTGCAGAAGTACACATGGAAAGGGCGACCTTGTCCATGGCCCCGTCCCACGCCCGGGGCTGACAGCCGGCACCACCCTCACACGCTCCCACTGCGATGCTGTGACTCTGCTCTGGATCTCACCAGGTTCCGTGCACCTTGGACTGAATGCTTGTGTGTCTCCCCCAGATTCCCGTGTGAAGCCCGACCCCCAAGGGGACAGAGGCAGGGCCCGCAGGAGGGCGAGGCCCTGGGTGGGGAGCCCCCTTGATGGGACCAGCGCTCCCCAGCTGCCCCCACCCAGGGACACAGTACAAAGCGGGCCGTCTATGAACCAGGAAGCGGGTCTCATCTGACACAGGATCTGGGGCCCCGACCCTGGACTTTCAGGCTCCAGGGCCGAAAGATGAATGTCTGCCGCTCATGAGCCCCCGCTGGTGGTGTGGTAGAGTGGCTCCTACGGACTGAGGCCTGCGGCAGGGAAGTCCTCAGGCCAGGACCGATCTCTCCTCTTCTGCAGGAAGTGGCAGACAGCGTGAATGGACGTGGAGCATGCCACCTGGCCCAGATGCTGGCCTGTCCATCCTGGAATCACATGTCCTCAAGAAAGGGGCCACACTTCCTCTGCAGAGTGGGGACAACGGACATGTACAGCTGGGCAGGAGGGGTGTGTGGGGTCCGTGCCGCGCTCAGCCCACACGGGCTTGGAGCTCAGCTTGCCCCCATTCTCGTCCAATTGGCTGCAGAGTATTTCATTAAATGGGTGTAGGAAAAAGTGCATCTCCACGTCCTCCTGAGGACATTTAAGTTGTCGAGTTTCCAGCCCGCATGCCCCGGGCCGCTGGTGGGACTCGGATCCCACTCCCCAACGCACAGGCAGGCCCTCTGCCACGCAGTCCTGGCCATAACAGTAACCGAGAACCTGGCAGTGAAGTGAACAAGCCGATGGGTGTCTCTTGAGGACAACCATGTAGTCAAATGTCAAGTGTTCACTTGGAAAAATCTTTGCAGGAAAACCTTCCCCTCAGTCCTTACCATCCTGACCCACTTGGCTGAGGGCAAAGTTCTGTCTCCTGTGCCAGCAGGTCTGTCAGACGGGGCGGGGCAGACAACTTAACCGAACTGAATTTTGCCTCCTGCTATGCGTGTCCGAGGGCTTGCGCCAAGCCCTCTGGACCCCTGGCCTGGCCATCTGCCCATCTCCTCTGGCATCATCCAGGACTGCCAGGCTGGGCACCAGGTCTGGCTCCTCAGCCCTCACCTGTACCCAGTTGATCTCAGCTCACAGAAACTGAACCTCTAGCACAACCAGAGGTCTCTTCTCTCTCCAACGTCTGGGTGCACACAGCTAACACCCACCACACCTGACGACTTACTGACCCAAGTTCATTCTCATGTGTGAGGTCCCTGTACAGGTGCCTGTTCTCCAAGAGCCACCCCAGGCATCCCAGAGGGTCAAGCCTGCGGCCCTGCCACACGGGCTGAAACATGTACCCACACCTCAGAGCTCTCGGCCTGTCGTCACCTGATGGCAACCCCAAAAGAAACAACTCGCTCGGCCCACAGAAGCAGGAGTGACACCAGTCAGCCACCTTCTCTCCTGGTGGATGCACTACTTAACATCCTCCAGGCTTCCCGTGCACAGGAGGCCAGGCTGGGGAGGCGGTGCGGGTCCAGGCAAACTTTAAAGATAACAACACAGGGGCAGGCCAAGGGAAAGAGGGAGCCAGGCATGTAATGTAAACGTTCTTGAAGCCACACTGAAGAGTGGGGAGAAAAAGGAGAAATAATTTTAGTATTTAATGTAACCCAATATAGCCAAAATATGGTTTCAAGGTGCAGCCGACACTGCCAGCACTGGTGGATGGCGAACACTCCCTGCTCTGCCAGTCCCGGTGTCCCGTGTGTTCTCAATGCCCAGAGCCTCTCGGTCACGCCTCTCCACCTCCGAGGGGTGGACGGTCACGCGTGGCCACAGCCTCCAACACCAGGACTTGGGCTCTGTTCCTTCAGTCACTCGTGGGACATCTGGGCAGACAAGAGCTTCTGACCACCCCGACTGGGGGGCACTACAGCCTCAGAATCGTTCTGCCGCAGACGCCAGGACCAGGTTTAAGCCCTGGAGCTGCCGCAGATCAAACAAAGCATCTGATTTCCCCAGGCCTCACCTTTCTCTTGGAGCTTAGGTTCAGGATGGACAAGCCATGGGGACTCCTGCACGCTAAACAGGAGCAAGTGCTCTTCTTCAGGGCGAGCAAGGGGGGAGGGGTCCCTAGGTGGGCAAGTGACCCAGTGCTGCTTTCCTGCGGCCAGTGCTTAGAAAGGAGCCCCCAGAGGGCG